TAGTCGTAGTCGTGGTTGTAGTAGTAGTAGTAGTAGTAGTAGTAGTAGTAGTAGTAGTAGTAGTAGTAGTAGTAGTAGTAGTAGTAGTAGTAGTAGTAGTAGTAGTAGTAGTAGTAGTAGTAGTAGTAGTAGTAGTAGTAGTAGTAGTAGTAGTAGTAGTAGTAGTAGTAGTAGTAGTAGTAGTAGTAGTAGTAGTAGTAGTAGTCGTAGTCGTAGTCGTAGTCGTAGTCGTAGTCGTAGTCGTAGTCGTAGTCGTAGTCGTAGTCGTAGTAGTCGTAGTCGTAGTCGTAGTCGTAGTCGTAGTCGTAGTCGTAGTCGTAGTCGTAGTCGTAGTCGTAGTCGTAGTCGTAGTCGTAGTCGTAGTCGTAGTCGTCGTCGTAGTCGTAGTCGTAGTCGTAGTTAGTAGTAGTTCTGGTCGTAGTCGTAGTTGTACTCGTATTAGTATGGGTCGGCGCAACTTTGAGACGTTTAGGCGGCTTTCAACAGGAGGCGCCCAGCGGCCCATAGCCACGCGATCGTGGTCACAGGCCTTGCGGGGCCGCGGGTGGATCGGTACGGCTTCGAGGGTTTGTCAGGCAGCCTTGAGCAGTGCCGGCCGCGTCGCGCGCGCGCGCTAGTTTCCAGGGTTAACGCCAAGATCACGGTCGAGGAGTGCGAATTCTCATTTGGTGTGATTGGCCGCCTCAACGGCGGGCAGTTCGACCGCATGGCAATCGCCATCCGCCTCGACGGCGACGAGCCCCGAGCGGCGAGGCGCCTTGCGGCCCACAGCCACACTCCCAGCGCCGAGGCGCTGCGGCCCCACGCGTCGCGCCTCGGCCGCAGGCCTGGCCAGAGTGGGGCCCCTGGGGCCCCTTCCGCGCCGCAGCGGTGGCTGGAGCGCCTGCTCGAGAGATTGGGCCCACCCAGTATGGGTGCTTTTTCTTGCGAACGTTCGGCTTAGCGCAGCCGCCCGCCCGCCACGCCGTGTGGAATTCGGCAAGTTTGTGGCCCATTCTAGCTCTCGCGGTCGTGACGTCACTCGGCCGGTGGTGAGAGCCAGGGCACGCACGAATGCGCGCTCCCGCGAATGCCCGAGGCACTTGGTCTCGCGGTGGGCCAAGACGGGGGAGCTGCGGCGCAGGAGCTGGGGCGGCTGCCGCCTTGCCCATCCCTCGACGCGGCCCGTGCCCAGCCTCTCGCACGGCACGCGCGGCGCCCCCGCGCCTGTTGAGTCCGTGGAGCCTGGCTGCAACGGCACAGGCAGGGTCAGAGGCGGAGGTCGCGCACCCGCGGTCGTTCGTGGCCAGGCACACGCAGGGGAACATGACGCGGAGCCTCAGCTCTTGCTTGCCACCTTTATCACGGCCAGGGAGAATGCTACGCTGCACAGGGAAAGCCAGGCACTTCACCATCGGATGGAGAAGCTGGAGGAGGAACCGGAAAGGGTCCAAGGGCGAGAGGCACGGCGATTGGCGATTGCCTTCTGCCGCGGCACGGGCTGTGCACTGGCGGGGAGTTGCAGTAACGCAGGGGGCCTCGCACTGAGCTGCAGCGGTTGTCGAAATAGATCGCCCGAGAGGAGGGGAGCGAATGGTATCGAACAGCCACCTAGGCCTGCTGCGCGCGTTCCTGCGGTGTGCAGTAGCTCCTTCTGGCTGTCACGGTCAGGGCCCAGACCTGTTTTGGGCGCGTTGGTGCTGTCGGGACAGAGACATGCACCGCGTTGTGGGGTGGGGGACTAACACGCCCGTGCCTTCTCGATGTCAGTGGATGTGCCTGCAGGGATCCGCCACCTTCTCCGCTGTACAAGGTAATGCGGTTACTGGTGATGGTGGCGATGATGGCAATACCATCGCCGGACTATTCGGACACGCAAGGGAAAGGGCGACAGGCTACGATGATATTCTCATACTGAGGCCTCGCACGCTTGAGCAGGGGCGATGGGGGATTGGGGCGAGGGGGACACAAAGAAGGAGAGTGATGAGATTGCTCCCCCGTACGTCCTCCCGTCCCCGCCTCCCCTCCTCCTCCTCTCCGGCTCCTCCTCCTGTCCTGACCTGCTGCTGCTCCCTCCTCCTCCTCCTCTTCCTCCTCCTCCTCCTCCTCCTCCTCCTCCTTCTCTTCCATCGCCTCCTCCTCCTCCTCCTCCTCCTCTTCCTCTTCCTCCTCCTCCTCCTTCCCGCAAGTGTCCGCCCCCCGTGCTGGTGGCCTCGCGCGCAGGCGGGCTGCTGGCGACCCTCAGGATGTTTTTGGCCGGTTCCCCTGAGAGCCCCCTGTCTTGGTGTTGTCGAGCGTGCGCTTTGCGAGCGATCTGTCGGGCGCAGGCTTCCTGTTCCCGAGTCGGGCGACGAAGGCTCCGGACGTGGACCTCCCTCCTCGCCGGCCCCCGCTGCGCAGGACGAGATCTTGTGGCGATTCCATCTCTGCTGTTTTCCTGCAGGATTTTTCGCTGTAGCTCCTCCGCCGCGCTTCGGCGCCGACTTTTCTTTTTGTTGCTGGTTCACTTGGCGGTGCAGCTGGTAGTTCGTCTGGTTCGGCTATGTTCATCTCGCGCGCGTATTCTACCTTCCTGGTGGCTCGCCCGTTTCGGCTTTCTTCGATTCGCGCGTCCCGCTCTCTTTCATCTCGTCGGGTTGTGTGTGCTTGCCTTTTCCAGCCGCTCCCGCCTGCCCATTCTCCCTTTTCGGCGCGCTTGGGCGTGTATGTGTGCTCCTCCTCCCTTTCCTCCGCCTCCTCCTCCTTCTCCTCTCTTTCTCCTCTTCCTCCTCCATTCGCATTTCCTCCTCCTCGCCCTCCTTCCCCTTCGCCTTCTCATCGCGGGTCCCTCCCGCGGGCTCCCTCTGCCGCGCCCGCCCGCCGAAGAGGCGGCCGGCTGTGCTGGCTGCCCCAACCAGAAGGCGTGCGCCTCCGGTGAGGCCCGCAAGGCGGACCCCGCCGTGGCGCATGTGAAGGAGCCAGCCGCCGCCGGATGAGGAGGAGAAGCATGGGGAGGAGGAGGAGGAGGAGGAGGACGAGGAGGAGGGGGAGGGGGAGGAGGAGGGGGAGGAGGAGGAGGAGGAGGAGGAGGAGTAGTAGGAGGAGGAGTAGGAGGAGGATCAGGAGGAGGAGGAGGACGAGGAGGAGGACCTTTTTGACATCTGCGGCCAAAGCCCCCCTTCGGGATCTAGGGGTGGCATGCCCGCCCGTTGCACCGACCGTTGCCCCAGCGAGCCGCAGCTACTGCGAAACGGCTCAGCGCAGGAGGAACGCGGCCAGTGCCAAGAACACGCGGGCGCCGGCGGAGCAGCAGCAGGAGCAGGAACAGCCGCAGGAGCAGGATGATGATGATGTTGATGATGATGGTGGTGGTGGTGGTGGTGATGGTGATGATCATAATGCTGACGATGCTGATGATGATGACAATGATGACGATTATGATGATGCTGATAATGTTGATGATCATGATGTGGTGATGATGGTGGTGATGATCATGATGATGGTGGTGGTGGTGGTGATGATGGTGATGATGCTAATAATGATGATGATGAGGATGAGGATGTTGATGATGATGATGATGAGGATGAGGACGAGGATGATGGTATGATGATGCCGATGGTGATCATGATGATAATGACGATGATGATGATGATGATGATGTTGATGCTGATGACGTGATGGTGATGATGATTGTGATGATGGCGATGGTGAGGATGCTGTTGATGATGACGCTGATGATGGTGATGATGATGCTGACGATGTTGATGATGATTATGATGATAATGATGAGGATGAGGACGAGGATTATGATGATGATGCTGATGTTGATGATGTTGATGATGCTGATGCGGCTGATGATGATGACATTGTTGCTCATGATGATGGTAGTGGTGGTGATGGTGGTTGTGATGTTGATGTTGACGATGATGATGATGATGATGATGATGATGATGATGATGAGGAGGAGGACGAGGGTGAGGATGAGGATGAGGATGCTCTTGGTTATGCTGGTGCTGATTCTAAGGGTGTTGATAATGATGATGATGATGATGATGATGATGATGATGATGATGATGCTGATGATGATGATGATGATGATGATGATGATGATGATGATGATGATAATGATGATGATGGTGATGCTGACGCTGATGATGATGATTATGATGGCGACGAAGATGATGATAAAGAGGGTGATTCTGTCGCTTTGATGATGTTGATGATGATGATGAAGATGCTGCTGCTGATGTTGATAATACAGATGATGACGAGGATGATGATGATGACGAGGAGGAAGAGAAGGACGAGGAGGAGCAGCCTTCTTGCGCCCACCGCAGCTGGAGTACGTGGAGAGCATTAAAGGGCGCACCCAGGCATTACGAAATGCCTTCCATGGAAAGGGACAATTGAGTTTAACAGCGAGAGATTTGGACGCTCTGCAACGGCTTGCAGGGACGAGCTTCGCCCGGCCGTACGCAAGCGTTCACCCAGAGAGCGTCCTGGATGCGACTTGCGAGCATTTCGCGATGCTTGTCGACTCCGCTTGCGCAGTGACCGCGGTGGTCATGATGCGGTGGTGGAGTTGGCAGCAGGCGATCGGCCAGGTGTTCAGCACTGCCAAGCGACACGAGGCATGGCGGCATTGCCTGGGTGGCCGTTACACCCGCTGGGAAGGCGTCTTCGTATCGACCTTCGGCGAGGAGTCGAAGTCGATGGCAGCGTCTTCTAACTGGGCGCAGACGAAAGGCACGGTGGGGACGTTCGTTCAGGAATGTGCGCAGGAGGCTTCAGACCCTGGTGGATTTCTTATCTGATGAGGATGGCGGTGATATCCGAGGCCAAGCCTCAATTGGTGTTCCTCCAGCTTTCAGGCCCTGGATTCTTTGTCCAATAGTTCCTCGTCCAATGCCCCCGCCGTGCGTTCTTGCAGAAGGTATATTCGCAGTAGTGGGCACCCAGCCGCTCGAGGACAGGCATGGGAGCCGACACCAGAGGTCGAGAACACGCTGTGCCATTGTCGCGCCTGCTCCTGTGAAGCGTCTACGGCGACTGGCCCGGGAGCCAGTCAGCTGGAGCGCGCTGGGTCGCGACTGAGTCCGCTTGAAGATTTAGGGCGACAGCCTGCTTGTCATCAACTGGCTCAACGGGCTTTGGCGGTGGAAGTGCCTTCTGTGTGACGCTCGCCTAGGAGTTGCGCATGCGGGCGGGGAAGCCTCTGTCAAGCACCATGGGGCCCTCCCCCAGCAACGCACCTCGGAATGGGGTCGCCGAATCTACCGTGAGTTGAACGCGGAGGCCGACGCGCTGGCAGGCAGGCATTACTTTACCTACACCCAGCATCGCACTGTGCACGGGTTCCGTTGTCTCTGCGTTACCATTGACGGCAGCGCAGCTGTGAACGGCGCGGTAGGTGGATGGGTGCTCTACGGCGCTCCGTGCGTGGTGGTGGACGGTACGGACGAACGGGCCAAGCTCGCCGAACTGAGCTTCTCCTTAGTCACCGGTGCCGCGGTCACGGAGGCAGAGCTGGAGGCGTGCGTCTGGGCGGTCTCGTACCTAAGCGCTGCTCTGGATGATCCTGCGACGGCAGATTTCCCTGCGGAGCTGTGGCGGCCCCTTGGCACCAGTTCCCTTTCGAATGCTATCATTGGCTGGTCTTCTTGACGCACAGAGCTAGGTCTCGAATTCTTGGACGTGCCATACGCGCCGGCGCACGGATGAAGGGCGTGATCGATTTGGTCCGCCTGAGCGGAAATCTTTGCCTTGAGTAGTGCGGTGGTCGTGCCATGCGCAAGCTCAGGCATGGGCGGTGCAGCGCGTAAAGTAAAAACGACGACGACGAAAACGATGATGATGATGATGATGATGATGATGATGATGATGATGATGGTGATGGTGATGGTAGTGGTGGTGCTGGTGATGATGATGATGGTGGTGGTGGTGGTGATGATGATGATGGTGATGATTATGATGACGATGATGATGACGATGATGATGATGCTGCTGATTATGATGATGGTGATGATTATGATGATGAGGATGGTGATGCTGATTATGATGACGGTGCTGATGATGATTATGATGATGATGATGGTGATGGTAGTGGTGGTGCTGGTGATGATGATGATGGTGGTGGTGGTGGTGATGATGATGATGGTGATGATTATGATGACGATGATGATGACGATGAATATGATGCTGCTGATTATGATGATGGTGATGATTATGATGATGAGGATGGTGATGCTGATTATGATGACGGTGCTGATGATGATTATGATGATAACGACGATGCTGATGCCGATGCTGCTGATGATGGTGATGATGATGGTGGGGTGATACTGCTGCTGCTGATGATGATGATGATGATGATGATGATGATGATGATGATGATGATGATGATGGGAGGAGGAGGAAGAGGAGGAGGAGGAGGAGGAGGAGGAGGAGGAGGAGGAGGAGGAAGACAAGAAGTCGAAGAAGGGGCTCCAATTCAGGCCGTGGGGGCGGGTCGGGTCAGCAGCAGCCGCCGCGACGGACATCGGCGGAAGGGGCGGCGGCAGCGACGGTGACGACGATGACGACGGCGGCGCCAGTGTCTGTGCCCGTTTTGGCTCGAGTTGCGATTTATTGCCAGTGACTTCTGATACTGTGCCCAGGCGTCGGAACCGAACAGGAAGGAGTGGCAATGGTAACACAAACAGTGCGACTAGTAATGGTGTGACTCCCACCGCTAATGAAAGTGTGGAAGTGCCTGCCTGCACTCGAGGAGACGCAGTCCAGCAATGTTGACCCAACTGCGGCAAGTGATTTGGTTCGTGTGCCGCACGCAACTTCAGCAGCGTTGCAGATGATGGCCGCTATAACCTGTTACTTGTTGCAGCATTTCCAGAAACCCTGCAGAGCCCTGTCACACGATAGCCAGTGGAGGATGCTGTCGTGACATGTGAGGGCAACCGTTGAGAGTTATCTTAAGGATAACCCGAGCTCGCGCTCGCCGTAAACGGGAACCCTCCGCACAACGATGCAACCGCTTCGAGCCGCCTAGGAAGCGGCCTTGCAGGGTAGACTGGACACGAGGGGACGCGAACGAGACCTTACCGTTTCGCGCTCCCTTCTGGCAGTTGTTCGGGTGGCCGTGTCTCGGTGTGGCATCTCGAGGCACCTCGCAACGGCGGCGCAGACTGTGACGCCTGGGGCGGTTCTGTGCCGCCGTTCGTGTTGCGAGGTCCGACCGCGTGTGAATTCATGCAGGGGCCTTGGGCGCCTCCCTTCGGGTTGTGTCGCCCAGGTGTTCTGTCCGGGCACCCCAAAAATGGTCGGGCGGAGGTCGCGAAGACGCCGGACCCACCGCGATGTCACGAGAGGCGCCCGCGGGCGCCTCGTGTGCGCCTCCTGCGCTGGCCGGGTCTGCCGGGCTTTCGGCCTGCGAGCGCCCGTGGGCACCCGGGGCGTGCGCCGGGCCGGGTCCGTGGGGAGCGTGGGGGCCTCGTGGGCGCCTCGTTCGCGGGCCTCGTGGGCGCCTCGTTCGCGGGCCTGCGTGTCGGGATGCCCGCGCTCCCGGTGACCGCCGCGCGTGGCGCAGACTGCGCCATGTTAGCGGTGTGTTCTTGCACTCTCGATGCGTACTCCGCGTGATGCGATCTTTGTGGGGCAAAGCACAGCAACAAATTTATAGGCTTACGCCACATCCGCCGACCCCTTGCTTTTACTACCCGGGCGGTTGGGAGTATTTGGGGCGCCACCTTTTACCTGAGTTCGAGGCTTGCCTGGAGGCCGGTGTTGGAGGTCGGCCTGCTCAGAGAAGGAGGAGGTGTAGGGGGAGGAGGATCGGCGGTCGAGGAGGAGTGGGAGTGCGAGACGTGCGGCGAGGCCGCTCCTTGTCACGATCTACTCCGAGAGGGCCTGGCCAGAGAGGCCCCCAGAGTCAGGAACGGCGCTCTCGCCCGAGACTTCCTCGCAATTCAGTGAAGCTGCTGGGGGCCCTATTGCAACAAGAAGGGCTCCCGCTTCATGCGTCCTCACGATTTATTCAGAGCCACCCTGGCCAGAGAGACCACGGGCCAGGGCTGGTTCAATTCTGTGAGTGCCGGTGGTGATGCACGAGATGCGGCGAGCCCGCTCCGCGGAGGCCTGTTGTTGCCCCGCTAGGAGGGGTCGTTCCAAATCACGTTTTCGCGGTGTACGCATAGTTTGGGGGTGCCGTTGTACTACTACTGCTTGCACCACGTATAGGGTACCACGTAGTATGCCCGAAACCATTGTTCGGGGTCCATGCTGGATACCGTGTCCTATGTTTGGCGCTGGGAGGTTATAGTTTTGCATGTGTTTCGCCATGCGCGCGCGGAGGCGTGTGTGTGGCCCGCATGGTCTGCGTTGACAGAGGTGTCGGGTGCGCGATGTCTGCGCAATGTTTTCGACATGCTCGCGCGCTTGTGGCCCGCATGGGCTCGCCTGACTGATTGGCTTGCCGATTACGTTTCTCTTACGGCTCCAGCGACTGCGCGCGCAACAGGTCGGCACTGTTTTGAAGCATCACGTTATTGTTTAAAGTTTGCAATGCCCAGAAGTTCTGCAAGACGGCCAATGACTGATTCCTTGTGTGCGCGCGTGTGGCCTGTATGGTATTGCTCGATGCGGATTCTCGCAGCACGCCTTTGTCAAACCAGCGCGTGTGCCCCGCATGGTATTCTTTGGTTGAAATGGCGGGGGCGGAGCGATACCGTCGCGTTTTGTTTGGTGGTGTCTGTCAATATGAAGACGTATTAACATACATACACGTCTGTATGTATGTATGTATGTATGTATGTATGTATATCTACACAAATCTATAGTTGTATAAACATAACGTGAACGGGCGTGCTGTCTACACGCCAGTGTATGCAAAGACCATGCAGCACAATGGACGGCCAACCTCACCTTACATGGGGCTTCGAATTCATGCAAGGGCCATACATTACTTCGCCGACCCTAGAAGGGCATATCTGCGGCGTTCGGTTTCGAATGTGCTGTGGGTCACTGTCCGTTCTGATACCTGCCTGTAGTTGTTGCTGTTTCGTCCCTTGCTTCGCGCTTGTTGCGTGGCTTCTTGGGGGCCTCTTACAGGCCTTGCGGGCATCCTCTTGGGAGCCCTTTGACGGCTCCTGGAGCCTTCTGGTGGCCTTCTGTCGGCTTCTTGGGAGCCTCATGGGGGCCTCTTTGGGACATGCCGGGCCCTCTGATCTTGGAACCATCTTGATGCTTTGGTTCCCCAGAGGAAGCCAAAAGATAAGAAGGCCAACTTTACTGAACACTCTTTATGTTTTTGAATGACTTTGGCCTTCTGGAGGCGTCTTTGAGGTTGCCTTGGATCATCTCGGGCTACCGCGGAGCCATCGCGGGGCCTCTTGGGGCTGTGTTCGGAGCATGTTGGGGGCGTTTCGTGGTCATCTTGGGGCCTGCCACCCCTTGATGCTCGCTCACGGGTTCCCCTGGGGCCCTCTTGGAATTGCCTTGGGCCTCTACTGGGGCGCTTGTTGGGGTCCCAGAGGCCCTCTTGGAGCCTGGCCGCCACTTGGAGCCATCTCGGGTGACCTTCAGATTCCCATAGGGACGGAATTCACCGAGAAAGAGAAAGTTCATGTTTTTGACAATCACATGTCTACCGTAGCACCCCGCACTTGAGGATATGAGTGAGGGTGCGGCGGGGGCGTCGGCAGTCTGCGAGGCTATGAAGATGCCCGCCGCAGGCGCATTTTTTTGTTGGTTTTTCCAAATTATGCAACGAGCCCGCTGCAGGCGCCAACTTCTTCGTTAAAGCGAAGTTGGTGGGTCGCGGGGTGAGTCGCAGATCGGGTGGTCAGACACATCGCGGGCAGGTCGGGAAGGCGGGCCTAGGCGACCAGGTCGAGCAGGCGGGTTGCTGAAGCGTGGGTCCTGCATGAAGTGCGAGGAAGGCTCGAGCGATAGCGCGATTCACGAGTAAATCGTGAGAAAAGCCAGAGCGAGAGCGTGATTCCTGAGCGCCCAGGGCGCATCGTCTATATAAGTTGCGAGGACGTCCCACGCGCGAGCGCGATTCGTATACAAGTTGTGAGGAAGCCCCGCGCGAGAGCGCGATTTGGGAATACATTGTGAGGAAGTATCAGGCGGGAGCCGTTGAACATTATTAATTCTAAAGAATAATTATTGTTGGGCCCCCTGGTGCGCGCCCCCCCCGCCGCGCCTAGGCCGCAGCCACGTTTTCATCATTTTCGTGAGGAAGCCCCAGGTAAAACGATGTCATCCAGATCCGGTTGTTTTGTTGAAATCGTTTTCCCTTGCAAAAAACACTAAAAAATTACATTTCTTGTTCAAATATACTCAAATTTCAAGAATCCCTTGCAAAAAATAAGGTAAAGTGGACATTCGCGCGCGCAAGACGAAATCCTTCCAAAAGCTTAGTGTTTGGAGCGATTTTAACATAAAAACATCAAAAAACCAATGGTTTTCTCAAAAAAAAATGTCAAAATCTCATCCCGCGCGCTCTTGCGGATTCGTAGGAAAACCAACACTTTTTAAACATTTCTGTCAAACGGGCTTTTGCGAGCAACTTTTTCGAACTTCTGCGACAACGGTTGCGCACCTGCCAGGGCCATCATCCCTGTCAAATAATACCATGCGGGACACATTCGTTTTTTCTTCGCGCGCGCACGCCGAAATCTCCAAAAACCATTGGGCTTCTTAAGAATTTTAGCACCGCGCATCATAAAATCACACGAATCGCACCGTGGATTAACAACTTCTGTGGGTTAACAAGGCTTAACAACTTCTGTGGGTGTACGAACGTAGGCTTAACAACTTCTGTGGGTGTGTACTCCACGCCAGTGTAGTAGCCACGGTCGTCCGCAGGCCACGAAGTGAAGTGTCCGAACGTCATAGGGCGGGAAGCTGGGTGTGGGTGGTGGCGAAGAGTCGTGTGGATATTTGGTAGAGCTTGCACTGCCCCCCCACAAAGTGGGGGTATTGGCTGGCGTCGCATGAAAACCCTGGCACTGGTGAGAACACTGAGCGTTCGGGTAAAGTGATTGTTGTTGTTGTTGTTGTTGTTGTTGTTGTTGTTGTTGTTGTTGTTGTAAACCGAGGTGGGGGCACAGTTTGAGCTTAGTGATTGTCCCTGATTAAAAACAGGGTGCCAACCGCGGGAGAAGCATTGCAATTGAAAAAATGCAGTGGTCACCGGAGGGGGGATCAACAATAATTGTTCCTGAGTCTGAGAGTTCAGCGACAACAGCAATACGCATCGCAGAATCTGACTTTAGCCACGCGCCTAGTTTGCCTCCCTTATTATGATAATGTGCAGTCTTGGATGTGTGTATACGTGTCTACACCTGGAAGGTGTTGGCCTCCTGGAGGCGTCCTGGGATTGGGCTAACTCGGGGCCTCTTGGGGCCTCTTGGGGCTGCGTTGCGGGCATCTTGGGATTGTTTCGGGGTCTTCTTGGGGACTGCGAGCGCTTGGTGTCCGCTCTCGGGCCGCCCTGCCCTCTTGGGGCCCTTTTGACGCTGTCTTAAACCTCTAATAATGGGGCTCTTGGAGGTCTTCGGAGCCCCGTGGGGCCCATCCAGGCCCGACTTAGGGGAGATCTTGTTGGAGCCATGCTGAGGCTCAGAACCCAATGGGAAGCCACAGGGTAAGAAAGCCAACTTCAACGAACAAGTACGTGTGTTTGAGCGATTTGTTTGCCTCATGAAGGCGTCTTGGAGCTGTCTTGGACCATCTTGGGCCACCTCGGGGCTACCTTGGGCCTCCCAGGGTTGTCTTGGGGGCATCGGCGGGCGTGCCGCGCATTGATTCGGTCACCCAGGCAGCTCTGGGGCTCTCCTGGAGGTCCTTTGGGACGATCCTGGGGCTGTGGTGACGACGACGACGACGCATTCCATCGGCCCAGAGGCCGTCCCGAGCTTGGGCTGTGGTGAGGGTCCTGGCTTGGGCCGCCCCAGCTGGGCTTGGACCTGGGCCGCGTTCAGGAGCAAAACGATCCCTGACCCGAGCTGTCCAGGGGTTGCCCGGAAGTCGCCCCCGGCATTTTTCCTCCGGGGACCTCTCGGGGCTTCCACGCGCGCGCGGACTAGTATTGTACATACTTTGAACTTCAGGTCGGAGATTCTAGCACGCCTTTCGCCCGTTGGGCTGGCGAAGGCGATCATTATCTGTTCCTCTTTTCTCATGTTTCGTTTTGTTTTTTTCTCATTCGTCTTATCAGTCATCTTCTTTTTAGTTTACCTTCTTCTTATTCTTCGTCATCGTCTCCTCTACTGCGTCCGCCGTCGCCTCCTGCGCCTCCTTGCCTCGTCCACCTCCTGCTTCTGCTCCTGCTTTCTCCTCCTCCTCCTTACCATCCTCCTCCCTCTTGCTCCTTTTCTCCTGCTCCTGCTCCCTCCTGCTCCTGCTCCGTCTTGCTCCTGCTCCTTCCTTCTCCTCCGCCTCCTCCTCCTTCCTCGTAGTCGTCGTCGTCCTCCTCCTCCTGTTCTTTCGTCTTCCTCCTCGGAGGAGAAACTGAGCGGAGTGAAGAGGAAGATCCTCGTGCTCTCGGGGAAGGGTGGCCCCGCCGCAGCCCGCGAGAGCCGCCGTGACCGCTCCGTGGAGGGAGGAGCAAAAGAAGAAGGGGGCGGAGGAGGAACAGGAGGAGGGGGAGGAGGAAGAGGAGGAGGAGGAGGAGGAGGAGAAGGAGGAGGAGGAGGAGGTGGAGGAGGAGGAGGAGGAGGCGGAGGACGAGGAGTAAGAGGACGAGGGCGAGAAGGAGGAGGCGGAAGAGGGGGCAGAGGATGAGAAGGAGGAGGATGAGGAGGCGGAGGAGGGGGAGGAAGAGGAGGAGGCGGAGGCGGAGGCGGAGGAGGAGGAGGAGGAGGAGGAGGAGGAGGGCCTGCACACCCCCGAGACACATCAAGGATGTTGCAATAAGCTCTCCCTCAAGCTTCCCTCGTCACAGGCACCTGCGAGAATTCGCTTTTATTGGGGAAATGCCCCATAGGAAGACAGCCGTCTGAGAATCCGCAGTCGCGCCAAAACACCATTTCTGGGACTGCAGCGCCGCCATTTAACGTGACTTTTGCGCCCTGACAGTCTTAATCCGTGCCCAAACATCCTTCCTGGGATCTCAACACCGCGAATCAACGTGACTGTTGCGTCCTGACAATCCTACTTCGTGCCAGAGCACCATATCTGGGACTTCAACCATGCGAATCCTTGAATCGGTTGTAAACTTCTGCGAAGAAGGTGTTGTTGACGAATGTGCGCGGTGCAAGGGCGGGCGCCCTGCACCCTGGAAGCTGCTTCAACATTTAAGACGACTGTGCGCGGCATTAAGGCGAGGGTCACTGTTTGAAAACCAGCCGCCCTCCATCCTTCAAACAGGTACAGACGTTTCAAACGATAGTGCGCGCGCTACGGCGAGAACCGCATTTTGAGAAGCACCCGCCCTCCATCCTAGAAGTTTTCGCAAGTTTCAAGATTCGGGGTCGTAAGTGTTGAGAAGGTCTCAGGCAGAACGCCAGGCCCGCCCGACCGACGCTCCTGGGGTTGCGACAGGGAGGAACCATGTATGAGCGAAAGGGATGGAGGAGGAGTAGGGGGAGAGAAGGAGGGGGTGGCAACTCGGGCTCTCCTTCGCCTGGTCCTCCTTCTCGTCCCCTGTCCACCCCGCTCCTCTTCCTCCTCGCCCGACCCCCCTCCCGGAGGACCACGCAGTGGCCTAGGCCGGCTCGGGGAAACCCGTGGATCTGGCGCGGGAGAGCCACAGGGAGTGACTCCCGAGCTGGTTCGAGACTGCGCACCGAGCATCAACCCACTCCAACAAGTATCTGGATGTTCACCCTCCAGTCGTATACCTTAGGAGGAGGAGGGGGAGGAGGAGGAGGAGGAGGCGGAGGAGGAGGAGGAGGCGGAGGAAGAGGAGGAGGAGGAGGAGGAGGAGCTGAGCTGAACATGGAGCTTTGCCTGGCCAGCCCGCGCTCGTCGCCGTGACGCCGCCGCGGGATGCGCCAGCTGTCCGGTTGCCAGAAGCATGGTGGTACTGTTTCGCTCATGGCCCCCAGTGGGCCATCCCGTTGCAGCCTTCGCAGCCACACTGCCGAATGCTTAGCGACGAAGAATCATCGGAAGACACGGGTGGATGACAGGCACGAGCGGACCCAGCGGGAGACCGCACCGTCCGCGTCCAGCCGCCCTGCTGATCACAGTGATGCGCGGCAGCAGTCGAATCGTGTTGGCCCGCCCAGTCACAATGCGCTTGTGGCCAGAGCGCAGTTGGTACAGCGCAACGGTCTGGTTGCTGTTCGTGGTCTGCATGCGAGACCTACTCGATCCACATACGTTGAACTGCGGCAAAACGTGGGCATGCTTGTGAGCGCCCTGGAGTTTGCGTGCGTCCCCGCGGGTTCTCTGGTTCGTGCCGTCCCGATGCATTCTCAGCGCCACTTCCCTTCCCTTCCTCCGCTCCAAGGGGGGAAGGACGGAGACGAAGGAGGAGGATGAGGAGGAGGAGGAGGAGTAGGAGGAGGAGGAGAACCAGTAGAAACCCAAGACTCAGCAATGATGTTGGAATAAACCCTCCCTCCAAGCTCCCTCCTCATTGGCCCCTACAGAGGTTCATTTC